CATGTCATTCCAGATCCTCAGTGTCACCAAAAGTCTTTTGAGAGAGAACAATGTGGGGATTTTAAAAGTCCATTTATAACCCCTGACAAATGCTTAAACGCTGGATGTTGCTATGATGATATGTTTATGGATGAACCTGGCTTACAGTGGTACAGTCCAAACGCATCCTTATGGTGTTTCAGTAAAAAGAAGGGGGCTGATACTGGTAAGTGAAACTTTTGCCAAAGATTCTACAGTAATAAAAATTATGTGCCCTCCCTATCTTTCCGCATTAAATTCTGCATTTCCCTTTTATTATCAGTATAATTGGGAATTGTTTTTGCTTTGTTTTGATCTTTTTTTTTTTCTGGGTGGGATATTTTAAAGTTGAACGAACATTTGTTAAATACAGCCTAGAAAGCTGAATTACTTAGCTAAACGGACTCATTGAAGGCACATAAAATAATTGATAACTTATTATCATTTCTTTTGCTTGATTATTTAATAATTTTCTTAAGGCTTGATAACACATGTATCTACCTCTGGGACAATGTCATTCCAGTCTCCTCCGCCGCCCCGAAAAGAGGATGATTACAAAGTACTTCAAACCCAGTCTTCTGAGGGTAGGTGGTATCTAATGAATCCTTTACACCCTAACATCAGCATCTATAGCCTCTATACTTCATACATTCCCTATCAGTGGTAACGAAAGGTAAATTCGTTGAAAAATTAAAGGCTTTTTAAGCTTTGGTCTCCCTGTAGACTTTTATTATGGGGAATCGAAGCGATTTTCAATAGGAAAATATCATTTTTTTTTCCTGTCAATTCATTTTAACATTTTTTGTTATTATTATTATTATTTTTTTAACGAGCGCAGCAACCAAGAGTTATTTTTCTACAACTTTCAATGGCCGGCGTCTACAACGAGGGCGAAGAGCCATTTCCCTTGCCGACAACAGTATCCCCGCACCATAAGCTAAAATTTCCCCGAGGTAATGTCCCACGTTAAAAATCGGTCACACCGGCAAATTTTAGTTTCCCGTGGGTCAACTGTCATTAAGTCTCGTTTCTGTAGGGCAAAAGTCTATAGTGTGACCACAGCAATTATCAGGAGAAATGAGGTGCTAGTCACTTTCAGGAATTTAAGAGTTAAGAAATGATCACCCATCTGCGATAAAAAGTAGTCACTTATTTATGCATTGTCTATTACCGCACGAGAAAGAAAATTCATTAAGAAATAACTTACAAACAAGCCTTTGTCACAAAGTGAGTATTGGAGTGACTGTTGTTTTTTTTTTAAAGCACCAGAATCGTAGTCGTCTCTTCTTCATCACTGTCATAAATCACAATACCGACGACATTTTCCAGTACTGCAGCATGAAGCGCATAAAAGTATCGTTACTTCAATGCAGATCACCTTCCAGGCATTTCTTCAGGCCTCTCTATCAGCTCACATATCATACTTCCACAGAGCATAGCACAATGACCCGGCCTCAAAATCCCAAATCCCGACTCCTCGACCCGGAGTCCGACACTATAATCGTTTGGCCATTTTCTTCCCACGTAATTATTACGTGTGAAGTGGTCATTGCGTGTGAAGTGGTCATTGCGTGTGAAGTGGTCATTGCGTGTGAAGTGGTCATTGCGTGTGAAGTGGTCATTGTGTGGGACGATGGTCATTCCTCGCGGTGATATATTACAGAGAAAAAAGCAAGTCCGTGACCATCAACACTTTCACAACCACCATACCATCGTCGTCATCAGTAACACCACCATCATCGTTATCGCTTCCACAAGCATCATCATCATCATTATTGTCGTCTTCGCCCATTTTTCAGGGACTGATTTAAAAGGATGGCATGGAATAATTTATCGTTATGCATGTATGTTATTAAAAAGGTATTCGCCTTTCACACTATCATCTTCTTCATCACCGCCATTGAAGTCTTCACCATCCTCTTCACTAAAATCATTATCGTTGTCTCTTTTGTAACATGTCATCGGAACATCTTCCCAACCACGTGCTTCATTTTTCATCATCAAAGAGGAATCTACCGGCGTTATCTACTAGCTTTTTCTTCTCGGTCTTTCTTTCTTTCTTTCTTTCTTTCTTTCTTTTGTTTTCTTTTTTTTGTTGTTAATGTTGTACTAATGTCCTCAGGATCAGTACAAGTTCGTCCACCATGTCCAGAAGCAAAAGATGTCCTCAATAATATCATTGGTCTCGTAAACGCTGTAACTAAAGTTGCTGCCTCGAAAGGCTGCGGGAAAGCTGTCGGTAAAATGCATTTTTGTTTTTGCATGGGTCAGTTGCCCGTAACCACGCATGAAACTTTGGTAACACTGCATGAACCACCAGTTTTCGTATTATTTTGGTTTTTGTTTTTGTTTTGTTGTTGTTGTTGTTGTTGTCTCCTGTTAATCAGAACCTCTTTTGTTAATGTAGTTTCGTCTCAATTTTTGTTTTGGTTTGTTCCCTTTAGTTTTGATATTGTCTCCCCAAATGCCTATAGTGAGAATGCAAGCTTTCTTTTTCTCTACGGAACGAAACTTTTTGAAGGAAAGCATGCAATGTTTACGCTACTTGGAAATTCTGTGTTTCTGGTGGAAGCTATTTTGTTGTTGCTAGGACTTTCTTTGTCGTAATCGCTTCTTCCGCTGCTGGTGTTTTTACCGTTGCTCATCAATTTGCGTTACATGGTTTGTTTACTTGTATCTTTGTTTGTTTAATGTTTTCTGTCACGTCGTTGTTTCTTTGTTAGTAGGACCGAATATTGATTAGTGGCCATTTCAAAATAGGGCTTCTATGTCTGTGTCATTGATCAAGTAGGCCCAATGCGATAGCATGCTTTTTCAAATATCTAAGAAAAGCGACATATGTATTACAAACGAATCTTTTTATATCTATGTGTAGAAGGCGCAGAGTCCAGCCTTTTTTTTTTAAGTAGTGTTACCGTTTCTATTTTATCTCTATTTTCCTGATGCGAAAGCTGGTCCTGGACCTGTATCACAACTACCCTCAAAATCAACAACTGGGCCAACAGCAGCAACATCTCCATCACCATCTTTAACATCCTCATCAAGTTCCAAAGCAGGACCAACCAGTGGCCCTACCGCCCTATCGGCCAAAGGAGCAAAACAGGGTTGAAACTACTAAAATTATGTTTGTTTCCCTATAATCTTACAAAAAGCAGGCGGAAGAGCAAGCTCATTGACAGAAAGACATGACATATTATGGGCCAGTTTCACGATCGAGCTTGTAATTATGACGTGGTTGGGCCTATGCTATTAGTCATGTCATACACCACGGCCAAAACGTCATGAAAATAGGGATTCCGTTTCTGTGTCATTGATTAAATAGGCCCATATACAATGTTAATCCGTATGCATTCTTGATCATGTTTTCCTTGTTACATGATGAAATATGGTTTAAAAGCGTTAAATAGCATATAAAGGGAATATATTAAAAAACGAATAATTTCTATCTGCATGTGTTTCAAAGGCGAGGAACCCTGCTTTGGTAATACCTGCTACATGATTTCTGAAACGGGGAAGTCTTGGGACGAGAACCAAAAGAACTGCAAAGCATCTGGAGGCGACCTAGTTTCCTTGGAAACAGAGGCTGAGTGGCAGTTTGTCAATAGCAAGATCCAAAATATTACACTTCAGGGAGCCAATGAATGGCACATAGGTTTGAAAAAACAGGGAGATTGGAAATGGGTCAATGGAAATCCGATGACCATTGAAAAATGGCAGCGTTCTCAGCCATCTGGTGATGGAAATGTTGCTGTTATGTCAAAAGATTACCCACCTGGAAGTCAAGGGCTATTTAACGATCTTAATGCTCAAATGCCCAGACCTTTCATATGCGAAATACCAAAAGGTAAGCTGACTGCAACTAGCTCTTTGGGGCTGTTTCAGAGGTATTTGTCTTCGTACTTACATTTATTTTATGATTATACACTTTCTCTGTCCTCCACTATGTTGTTTATTTCTTTTGTTTGATTACCTTACCTTTCGGTTGCCTCGTTCCTCGCAACAACTGGTATCCAAGGGTCGTTATCCAAGTGCCCTTGAAAAATCATATTTTTTTTTATTCAGGAGCTAGTCCTCAGCCTGGACCTCAACCAACCTCAAAACCTGCTGTGGGGCCAACAGAAGCACCAGCTCCATCATCGTCTCCAACATCTTCAGCAAGTTCCACAACAAAACCGACCAGTGGCACTACTTCTCAGCCAGCTGGCGGAGCAACATCAGGTTGAGACTTTTAAAACCATGTTTACTATTTTCTAATCTAACAAACAGCCAACCAGACGTGCAGAAAAGCAAGATCATTTACAGAAAGACCGAAATAATGTTTAACTCGCTGCCTGATTAAGCGACTACATGAATAAATAACTTGCCTACTGAATAACTACATAAATGACTAGCGAACAGAAAAACAGTCGAAAAGTTTCAAAGACTGTCCTTGCAAAGACTAACTGACTGAGTGACCGACCTACTGACTGCCCATCTAATAGTCCAACCGCCCAGGGGAAAAATTTAGTAACAGTCTGACTGGCTTAGTGAATAACTCATCATGTCAACCCTCTTCAATAATCATGCTCCTCATTGAGCTTCTTACCGATTAGAAGACCACGGGGCAGACATGATGAGCAAAAGGACATGCCTGAAGGAGAATCCAGACCTACCTATTACAATAAAGCTTTACATGTAATAATTGCTTTGTTCCTTTGTTTCAATTTTTTTTCGCTTTTTTTATCAGAAATGACTGGATTTGAAAAAGACTGTTTAAAAGCTCACAATGAATATCGAGCAAAACATGGTGTTCCTCCGTTGAAATGGAGCGCTGAGTTGGCTGCAGATGCACAGGAGTGGGCCAAAGAACTCGCTGTTAAAAGTAGGGATCACTTAATTTTACTTTTAGCTGCGCAAGAGAGATGATCTTTATCACTAAAGCTATTGTTTTCTCCATCATAGCATTATTATCATCATAATTATCTTCATAATTGTCACTATAATTATTGTCAATATTATAATTATCGTTATTTGAATTGTTCTGGCGAATGTGTTATTTTCTTGATTTCTTACAAATACGTCTTGTGTTTTCTCCTCCGTTAGTTTGCAGTTATTTTATGCTTTATTTTATATATTTGTATATATGCATCATTCTTTACGTTTTTCAACGTATCATTTCTGCACCATTATTTTCACACTTTATTTTAATTACGCCGCTTTTTTTATTTATCAAGTTTCACGCCCCTTTGGGCAGTGTGTATAATTTTGCTTTCGATGTTAACCTTTTTTCCCATGAGTGTTTCGTATATTTCTTCGACATTTGGTAAATTTTGGTCTTGGTATCTTCGTATGTATTTTTTCCGTCCTATAAATTAGTCTATTTTTGTAAAGTCGTTTTTCTGTTTCTTAGGATTTGTGTTTCTCTTCACGAGCGTATTAAAAGAGTTAATGAAAAGGATCCTGAGTAAACATGTTTTGAGGCTGGCTCTTGCCTCTTCAATAATTATTCTTCCACTTATTATTACTATTATCATCATCTTTTTTACCATTGTTATTATTGTGATCTTTATCATTTTTATCAGTATGAAAACCTTATATGATTGTAAATATACAATTTAAACTGCATATTGATATGCAATTGCGATACCGGTGCAGTGCTCTATCAACTAAGCTAACAGCCAACTGAGAGCTGGCATGAATTTCTTAAAGCCTCTAATTTCACTACGGTTAAGAAGTGTTTACTTAGAAAAATGAGCTCTCTATATTTTACTTATTGTTGCATTGTTATTGATCGGCCTTTGAAACTATCTGCAGATCACATGGAACATGACTATGACAGTATTAACAACAAAGGTCAAGGCGAAAATCTGGCTTATTTTCAGCCGGGTGACCCATCGGCTATGCCGACTCAGTGCCAAGGACCAAAGACAAAAGACTGTGTACAGTGCCGTGAAATGGTCGCTGACTGGTACGCAGAAGAATCGAATTTTGATTACAACACGGGAGAGAGCAAAGGAGGCGTGATTTTGCACTTTACCCAAGTTGTCTGGAAGGAGACCACAGAGTTGGGGATGGCAACAGCTACCAGTGCTGATACGTGGTTTTCTGTTGCACGTTATAAACCACGTGGAAATATGGGGAGTCCGTCAGATTACGTCAAGAATGTACCAAGGCCTCAGGTTAACGTTTAAGAGCAGTTTTGATTGATAATCCAAGGAGGCAATAATCAAGGTGCTGCCCGCAACTGACTGATTTATAAGGAAAGCTTGTCTTGAACATATGTGTTATAAAATATGAGGCAATAAACTTCGTCCTTATTAAAGTATAGAAAGCTTTCTTTTTGTAGACAGCATGTTTACCTTTTTTTGGTTACTTCTCTTTTATTTTGTTATCGCGTTCATGCAGACGATATTAAACTAAAAACAGCAGCAAAGGCACCTTACAAGGCAGGAAATACTCAAAACTGCAGTCTCACCCGTTTTCAAAGAAACGCTCGTTTTTGTCCAAATTAACACAAAAAAGTCAGTGTTTTCTCAAACTAAAAGCATAATGCGTTGAAAGAAATAATTTTACCCTGATTTTTTGTCAGACCTGCGGTCAAAGCCATGAAAACAAAGGGAGTAGAATATGAAAAGGAAGAGACACTTATGAAATGTTGTACGAGTCGAAAATAAATAATGAGAAACGGTGGATACTGAGAGCTGAACAAGCAGAAGTTTGAACGCGAATAGCGAAATAAAAAAAATTGAAGCTTCTAAAAATGAACCTAACCAAAGCTTAGCTATTCAGAAAACATTTAAAAGAATAGTAGTTATTGTGGCGAACGAGTGCAAATATAATATTTATTTATATAATATCAATCTATTTATTTATAAATATTTATAATATTCATATGCGCAAAAATGTAAACGAGAGTGCGCCACAAGTGAGCGGAAAGTGTGTAGCTGAAAACCCGTCAAAAATAATTACTCTTTTTGCCCGTATTGTTGAGAGTGACACCTTACTAGGTGAGGCGTTTTACATCATGACTTCCTCCTCCTATTCTCCTCCCCTTTCCAACCCTGCTATGAATTCAACCGCAGAGTGATTTTAATCAACTGTACCTACTTTTTGATGTATATCAACAGTTCAGAAATTGGTAAAATAGAAGCATACTTACTCCATGAACAGTCTAATGGTAAAAACTACATTTTAATTTTAAATTCCATTTAGCTTTTTTTCCATCGGTTGAATTAAGAGAATTTATCTAATTCGCAATGAAATTTTTAGTTTTTTTGACAAAAGCCTCACCAGGCTTACTTTTACATCGCAATTTCAAAGGTAGATTTTAATAACGAAAAAAAATTGTTCATTATCATTCAAGCAATTTTGTCAAAATCGGTTAACTCGCCTACGCCGCCTAAATCATATTTGAAGATAGATATTGTAATTTATTTCTTTTTTCTACTTAAGACAAACCATTAATTGTTAGCCGAGCGTATTCACTCGCTCTTAGATTCCTGATGCCTGGTGCATGCGGTTTTTTACTTATACGCGACAAATAGAAGATAAAACCGTGATAATTACTATTCTGTCTGGCGTTGCAGTTCACAATCACACTTTTAAAAGCCGTTGAAGTGTTCATATTGAAGTGCCTCAAGTGGATTGTTCTCATAAATATTCTACTTGATGTATTCCATTTGTCAGCTGAAAGCTTTTATTTTGATAAGATTGAGCAATGGAAATATGTGTCGGCGCGATTGTTTTGTTTCCTCTCGCTACACGGACATTTCTCCACATTCGTTAAGCCTATTTGCATTTGTAAGGATAATAACTTTGGTACTCATCTGACCATTTGGAAAACCACTGGACACAAACTATGTTAAATTCATAATGCCCTCTTGAGTATTGTTTACAAGAATTCAGAAGCAAAGTGCGTTGGCTATTGGACAGATTGGTCACATCTCACGAGAATATTTTCAACCGTACTGCTAAACTTAGATCATCATTAATTCAGAACGGCGCAGAGCAGTTGTCGCAGTCATACGGCCGGAAAAACGCGATTTGAAGCGCGTAAGAGAAAAAGGTTCGCTCTTTCTTTTTAAATGAAGCTTCAACGGGGTACATTCTAAAGTATAACGGTCAAAAATGTCTCATACATCCTCTTGGAGTTACACTGATAATGAATTCGGTAAGTAATTCAAAATAATTAAACCTGGCTTGTAACCGTCGATTTTTCTTTGAATTTTTATGTATTGTTAAGAATTTTATCCATGTATCATAAGCTAGCGATTAAACACGACCTGCTTTCGTGAATTCACTGTTAATCCAAGGGGAACTGACCGATATTTCCTTCCGAATCAAAATCGTATCACTTCTGTTGTGAGCATGAATTTCTTGGGTATCTCCCCTAGTCATCGCTAAATCTATTTTCGTCCATTTAAAGCTGAAATTTACATCTGAAGTTCCTTTCTTGAAGAATCAATTTTGGAAAGAAGAAAGTCTTTACATTCTTTTACGTCCAAACTAATTCCAAAACAAACAAAGGAGCAAATAGGATGTTAAGATGTAACTTTGAAACGCTAGAACATCTCGAAATCGATTTTCGTTCATTACATCCTTTGCTAAATCGAAGAAGGTTTAAGTTGGGTTTTGTTATGGTTTTACACCGAAGTTAAATATGCGGTTGAAAGTCCAGTCGAAGCTCTCAGTAAGGGGTGTCGCTGTATTTTATCAATAAAACACTATTCAAAGCTGGTTTGAACACACTTCAACTAAGAAACACCGCTAGTTTATATCACATACTAAAAAAAATAGAGCTATAGCATTTATGTTCGATAACAGAATGCTATTTCGAATTGAACGCGTGTCGATAAAAAAATACATGCTCTCGAAAATTTATAGAGTTGACGAGGAAACTATTAATGGCGACATCAGATGTTTTCTTCCACATCGGGAGAGCCCTCATTACGCTTTCTAAATCATGTTTTCCTGCGACTCTTATATTTTTACTCAGCAGGAAAATATTTTTCCAAAACACCTTTGAAATCTTTCTCTTTTTCAATTTGCATATGTATGAACATAAATTCGTAAAGGAAGACACCTAACTTCGGTCTGTGGCCTAAACAATCAAATATTAATCCATAAGGAATAATGCCCTATTTCAGGTCCTCACACTTGGCAGGATCGCTACAAAGTCGCCGAAGGTAATTTGCAGTCTCCGATTAACATCGACACCGAAGCAGCGAAAGGAGACACCATCGTGGAAGCGATTAAGTTCAATTACTTGCCCATGAAGAACAGCACCATTACTAATGATGGACGACATTTGCAAATCACATTATCAAGAAATGATTCAGGTAAATTTGAAATCCATCTTATCGTAGCCTTGAGCTGATATGCAAATATAAAACTTACTCCAAATTAGAAGAACACCAGCCCACAGGATTAATATTGAAATATTGTTATGGCATATTGAAAACATTGAATTACATTCGCCGTTTGCGACTAATTTGTGTAATTGCATGTTCTCAGAGGAGTGCACAAAACATATATGTATATACGAGAACTGAACTAAATCTAAGTGTTTATTTATAGCCGTTATTATTTTCATTTTGACACTATAATTTTTGTATTTCTTTTACGCGACCTGCAAGAAGTTATGTTTCCCGAGGTCAGTCCAAGTCTATTCTATCCTGTAGTAATGAATACACTTATTGTGGCAATCACACAGCTTCAACATCAGTAATGTCAAATTGAGCCGTTCACTTGAAAACTTGCCCCTCATTTTCCGAGAGGAATGAAAGTGCTTTGAGTAGAACACTGTAATTCTTCGAGAAGTAATACACATTAGATTTAATGAAGAACCAGAACAAATCCGATATATATTCCGTATGCATGATGTTGATTATAAGTAAAATTATTTATGCATTATCATTTAATTTAATTTTTCTTACCTTCGATGGTACATTTTATATATATATATATAGGACTGAATAAGTTTCTTTGAATCATAAACGACCAGGATTGTATTGCTATTACTACGCGTCAGTGGTTAGACTTATTTCTTAGTTAAGAAGCTCAGAAAATTTACTGAAATATAGTTTTAAATCGGTGAATCAAAAAATCAAGTTCGTTTAAAATATAAATAACTCTCTCCCTCTTAATTAGGTTGATTAATTGTGATCTGACGGGCGCATGCGTAGGATCTAGTTTCCTTTGAACAGCTTTGACATTGGAAACATAACAGCAAGGAACCATGGAAATAACCTCGGTTTCCACTGAGAAAATTCGAGAACTCCTCTCATGAAATATTGTGAAAAAATAAAGCAATTCTGGTTCGTTTAATTCCTCCTGAAAATTGCTTTTACTCTAATCAACGCCTGCCTCTGTTTCAAAACCTAAAAATTACTATCTTTCGGAAATGAGAAAATTGAAGTGTGAAATAGTGTTCTTTATGCCGACTTCTTTACAGGTTCAAATTGAAACAGTTACGAGGGTGTTATTGAAAAGAGATAAATTTACTTCAATCTGGCAATCTAAGAAAAATATGAAGCTATTGAAGACGTCTCCCTGTGTGATTCGCACCAATAGCATTCAATATCAAATCGGAAATGAGTTTCCTCAGTATTACCCCACCATGGCACATGATGGCCATCCTTTACATATTATCAACATTATATTTGCCACTGTGTTAGAACACCCTGATATCAATAATAGTCAAAACAATTATGCAGCTTAAAGCAAAGGTAAATGGTACAGTTCGAGGGGCAGTGTTAACATTGTCTGGATTCCAACCTTGAATGTTGTATGCTAGGAAAGTTAACATCTTAACTTTTTTTCCTCTTGTATCAAGAACTTTTCTTTCTTTACAAAGCCAACCGAGCCGTTAGATCTTGATTAAGACAAAGAAATTTATTGGATGGAAAGCCACAACTTGAATATTGAAAAACCGCTGCGTTATTCCATATATTAGGATACTTCGTCTGCTTCATTTTTCTCTCGTAAAAGTTTCTCGAGAGTCAGTGAACCTGCTTTAAAAAGTTTTATCGAGATGATAAATTTTTTTTCCGGTGGAAAAGACCCAGCCACAAACTATGCGCGCTATACCAAAGCTTCTCCCACCACAGCCAGACTTTGAAGGTGTACCATACGAGTGTTGTGACTAATTTTGCAGCAGGTATGCTACCGTAACGTTTTGAGGAAGTTGAAGCATTTTCCCCTCTTTCTTTAGTTGTAACAGGAGGCCCATTGACAGACACATACCAATTGGCTATCATACGCTTCCGCTGGGGTCATGACAACAACTCCGGATCGGAACACGCAATCGATGATCAAAATTATCCATTGGAGGTAATACACTTCTCTATTAAAGAGGATACATCTCTACTTAGGGTTGATTATTCTGAGAAAGGGTTTTTTTTTAATTTACCTCGCTTTCCATTTCGTCTGCTGTTTTTTTTCCTCTCTGGACTTGCACTGGATTTTAAGAGGTATCTATATCTACCGGACTCCGCTGTCTCCTCATTTGATTATTCGCCTTCGACCCTTTTTTTTTTGGTGGTAGGATAAGTCATAATTTTGCAGACTTATAAGAATTACACCAGTCGCCATATTTTCTTTCCTCTAAACTGTGGCTCAGTGAAAGAGCATCGGTGCGAGGAAATCCGAAGGTTTTTCTTTGTCTACCACGTGGCAAGACTAACAACATCTCTTTCCTGGCACTCTATTGTGAACAGGTTCAGCTCATCCATTGGAACAAAAAGCTGTATAAAAATATTGGTGAAGCTATGGGAGGAGAAAAGGGCTTATGTATCATAGGACTTCTGTACCAGGTAAGGTTAAGATTTGTTGAGACGAGTGTTAGATTTAAGGTGCGATCCAAGTCTGCTTGAAACAGAAGACCTTGCGCTAACTTGCAATCAGCTTCTGGTCGAGGGTGCTTATTGTTCCTCTGTCTCCCGTTTCGTACGTATGCTAATTGATGCTAATTGTGTTCTATCACCTTACCGTTCTTTTGTATAAGTTCACCTTTCAGTTTATCTGTCTGTCCCAGTGGCGGATTTAGAGAAGGGACCCAAGGGACACCCCCCCCCTCCTCCCCCCTTAGCTCAAGGTCTGGATCCGCGACTGTATCCGTAAGTTAGCTGGTTAGCTGTCTGTCTGTTCGCTTGTCTGTTCACTTGCTTGTCCGCATGCCCGTCTGTATGTATATCTGACCGTTTGTCTGCCTACAAGTGTCCCCAACTTTTGCGTTATTTTTTTTTCAACTCGCACGCTTGTTTGGTTGTTTGCAAACTAACCAGCGACCTCCCACATGAGTCTCCGGACCCCCTGGCGTTATCAAAAACCTTAATCAGTCAATATCACAAACACGACTTGATCCTTTGCTATAAGCGCAAATATAGGATACACGGAATGACGTGAGTTAACCCTATGTGGTATTATTCCATGGCAGGTGTCAGATGATGACAATGAGGGCCTAATGCCAGTTATAAAATTGCTGTCTAGAGAGGAAAATAAGGTAACATGATTTGTATTCGATTTTTAATGGAATGGTAGTGAGGACCATTCGATCTCCCATCCTGGCGTTCTTCGCCAAATAATCGTTTCATCGTCCAATGTTCAGCCTGTTAACAACCCACACATCGATACTGTTATATTTACAGGGCTGCTTTTCATTGGAGGTGAAATCTACCATCGATCCAACTTGCTTTATAAAAGGTTTGCTCAAGTTTCAAAATGAAATCTTTATGTAAACTGAGTCATACTGAGCAGCTTCATGAGAAATCAGAGTTTTAATCCTTCACTGATTTCATTTTTACAATAAACTATACATTAAAATTATTCATATATTACTTTTTAAAAGTTTGCTGCGGGTTTTAATTGGAGTCTATTAGGTATACCAGAAACAACCTAAAAAAGGACACCTCGAAAGGTCGCTGGTTATTCATGGCAAGAGATTATCTCTACGTCTGACTGAAGGTGGAAAAACACAGTTAATCTGTTCCACAATGTACTTTATGGGATAGCATGATGTTGTGATTGAATAGGATTCTTTTGATCGAAAGATTAGAGAGAATTTGAAAACAAATAAATACTTTATTGAATGTGACTTATTGAGCGAAAGACAGAGAGGACTGAACCGACTTTATTTCTGGCTTGTTTACTCACAGCAGACAATAAAAATACAACAAAGGAATAAAGATAAAGTTTATTACACCTTTGAAAAAAAAAAATTGGCGCATGCGTATTTTGGGCGCCGTATTTTTTCTTTTACATCAGCAATTTCTAGAATACGAAAATGACCATTACAACCAGATTTCACACTGGTTATCTTCCTGATAGATATGACATCATACTGGACATATCAAGGCTCGCTCACGACTCCTCCAATGAGTGAGAATGTCACATGGATAATATCAGAAAATATCATGAAAATATCCGAGAAACAGGTCAGTTTATTGCTTTCTATGTGAGCGTGTACTTTGTTTATCATGACACTGAACGGACGTCGTGAAAAAATGGCAAGCGATAATGCTCAATAAAGCATCTTAAAGATGTCTTTTATAGTGATCCAATCTAATGCCATTTAATTGGTAAGAAGTTCTTTGGTCTGGTAATAATGCCTTGGCATGAGAATTCAAACACTTTGAGACAAAAATGGAGCCGCGGGGGTTGGGCCAGTTGTTCTACTCAAAGTAATCAAACATTCCGGTGTAAAACATTTTGAACAAACAAACTAATAAGCAAAAGAAACAGATACCGACCGAATTTAAAAAAGAACTTGACAGTCCACAGCCAGATATAAAGGCAATGCAATGAGCTTGCTAAAATGTATCCGCTATCACAATAGGGTTTGCTACCGAAATAAAGTTATGACGAATTTTTTGATACCTTGTTAATTAACCGCCCAGAATAGAGACGTTTAAACGAAAGGCAAAATTAATCTTTTTTGTCGCTCCTGACAGCTAAGTGCGTTTCGTAATGTTCGCAACAGTTGTGGGGAACTTATGGCTGGTCACTGCAGACCCCTTTGTCCATTGAATGGGCGACCCGTTAGGCTCTGTGTCATGAATAACAATAACAATATCGAGGACCACCAAGAAAATGATGACATTCTCGCTAAGGACTGCGACGATGACAAAGAAAATGAGATTTTAGATGAGAATGCGAATCATAACTGTGACGATAATGGGCCAGATGGGACAGACAAGGGCTACTTTGAGGACATCTACAAGTTGGAAGCGATGGGCGACCATGTCGACCTGGAGGCGCATTAGGTAAGAGATTGGTGGTCCATGCAAAGCTGGGTTTATCTATCGAAACAAAAATTGCTGTAAACATAACCTTGTCAACTACATGATATTCAGAAGATCCAATGCAGATAGATTCCAATCATTTATATATGACAATAAATGTTTGTTTAGACAGTCTCAAGGTCATTATTAGTAACTAAGAAAGTAACTGAACGTATCTGAAAGTAACCGTCCCAACCGACTCTGTGAACTAAAGAATACTATTAATAATGCAAATAAAGATGATACGAGCTTAGTGACTGGTTTGTGTAAAGGAAAGCTCCACCATATATTTGCCTTTTGGTATGGTTCAATTTTTTTAAGACAACAGCACTATTGTTCGATATTCTTCGTTGCCTTTCCATCGTATGGTCGAGCTCAGGCTAGAATTTTTCGATGAAACAGCTTTCGCCAGAGGGTAGTATCCTAAGGCGTTAATGAAACTGAATAGATTTGAAATAAAAATCTAGGCTGAAGAGGACGGAGAAGCGATGAAATAATCTCAGCATTTTCATTAGCTGAGCTCTTTTTCAAAGGAAACTTTCCTTTAAGCTTATCCAGTACTCGAGTAATCATTTTCATTACTTGGTTATGATGTTCGTGGAAGTCAACAGACGAGGGAAGCAAAATATTGCTTTTCCTGATCCATATCCAGGACTGAATAAAGATTCTGATAAAGCTTCTACTGGAAACAGCAGTTTCCTCTCGTTTAGTATAAAGTATAAACACTATTGGATGAAAATGAAAGAGGGATAGTCTAATCAAAGAGGCATCGTCTAACAACGAAACTGGCATAATTGACGGTAGTCGCTCGATTCCAAATGTCTTAAAATAGCCGTCCCTCACAATCGCGTAAAAAGGGATCTTTGTCTTAAATCACTTCGTAGACCGGTTCCGATCCGGGTCCTTCTACCGAAGAAAACAAATTTACCACAATAGCATGGCCTGCATTGCTGGCGGTCTGCGATTTTGGAGACGAAGAGACAAATGAATTTATTTTTTCCGCCTCCAAAACCGCAGATCACCAGCAGCGCTGGCTACTGTTCCAGAAAGTCTTGGATCATTGTCAGTAACTGAGCAACAGCGTGCCTAGCCTCCCCTAACCCAACAACAATCAGCTGATACAAGTTAGGGTTAATGCTGTGTCATAAAAGGGGTAGGGCAATTGCTCAGGTAGGATCCAAAGATTTTACGAAAGTAACAGGAAACGTTTTTTTTTTCTCTAACACAAGCTTGTGCTTCAATCGAATCAATTCATTCTTTATATATTTTCATTCCTTTGTTTAAATGCATATTATATACAGACTTATTTTGTTGTCAATATTTAGAAAACAATTCCTCCTCTGAACATTTTTTGCCCGGTTTCGAGCGTCTATTTCAATCGAAAAAAATTCATAATAAATAAAAAAAGACCACCAAAAAACTTCAAATAAAAAAAAATAATATACAGCTTTGTTGCAAAGGGTTTCGCTACAACTCAATGACTTGACGAGTTTAAGCATGGGCGTTGCGGTAACGGCGAACGGCATAAATGTACCCTCATACTACTTAGCTAAAATCTGTGCGTTAAATTCATAGAAAAATAAAATCTCGTGTTCACAGTTAACACAAGTAGCTTAACTTTCGTATAAAAGCGGCTGAAAGCTGACACAAGTAGCTTAACTTTCGTATAAAAGCGGCTGAAAGCTGACGGCGGATACTGAATTCTTTGCTTTTTACCATGCGCCATAAACGTCATACCCTACCCTCTTTAATACCAGCCCAAACAAGATAACGTTTCTTGGTATAACGGCATTATCATGCTTATCAACCGATGGCGTTGTCTGGTAACAGAGTATCGCCATGCACATCGAAACTGGAATCGTTTTATCACCACTAATCATACAATTACGGCGAATCCATTTCATAAAAATTATTATGTAAAAGAAGGAATTTCTCCTTATTATGTTTGATGCCCTAAAAAACTGATTAACCTGGAACTAATGCCTTCTCAGAGCTCGAATCACTGAATCAATCAATGTTGTAAGGGCATTGGTCTTTATGACCAGAACTTCTACATCCGGGTTATCGGGTTGTTGAAATGAGGTAGCTTTGACAGTGCACAAAATGTCACGATATTGTTCCACCACTTCTTTGACCATGGCAATGATATGGCGGCCATTCTGATCGCATGTATCGTTTAGAATCGAGTAAGTATTCTCACATGACTCAACCACCTTTTCAAGAGAATCTAAAGATGTTTTAACGGCTGACACTACTTGAGGGCTTCCACGTTTGATACTCGATGAAATAACCTTGACATCGCATGCTAAGAATCTCGCATTATTTTGAAAGTTCAACAGCCAGGTTCTGTTTTCGCCGTTCGTTTGTGCATTCAATGCAGTTTTTTTCAAACACAACTCCAACCTATTCATTAAAAAGTTCACCTTCGAGAGGCCTTCCTCGCAAACATGGTAACTCTTCGCTCGAAAAGCTTTTATTTGAAATTCTTCCAATTTGTGAGAGGAATCTTTGGCCACATCGTCATCCAATTGAGAACTCTCCTCGAAAGCAACGCTGCGTCGTTTCGTTCGACCGTTTAAAAAGAAAGAATTACTGTGAGCAGACCAATCTTCACTCAGGGAACGTCGTTCTCGACAAAGTGAAGATGAAGTTAACGATGCAGATAACGCACTTTCACCATCTCGTCGCTCAAAGTAGCCTGACCTTGATTTTTCTACTGAGTCGGAAGAGAGCTTAAATTTCAAGTCTTTATTGAGAGATGTAAGATCCGGACTGGTGTTTGATTCAACGCTATAGTTCAGAGCGTCATCGCAAAATGTCTCGATTAAGGGTTCGTCATTGTCAAAATCTTCGAGATCGAACGAGGGAATTGTGGCAGGGGGAGAAGACTTCGGTAATGGTGGTGGGGGACTATCAGGGAGAGGAGATGGGCTGAACGTACTGTTGCACTTTTCTTCATGATGCTCAGGGTCTGCTTGGTGCTGGTCTGAGCTTTCGTTTCTTTGCTTTACGAATGTGCTTTCTGGGTCATCTCCAGATAGATTTCTGCTAGGGTGTCTTGAATTTCTACAAGATTTGTGTAGAGGCGATGCTGGCTTCACAATCGGCCCCTGAAAGTGTACTGCATTTACACAGTTTCTTTCTGATGCTCCAGAAGAATTTCCCGCACAAAAGTTGTTGTTGTCTTTGCAACGTGTCAGTCCATGCAGCCTCTCCGCTGGAGACGTTGTCAAAGTTAAATTTTGCATCCGTGACGTTGAGTACGGTGCAGGCACATATGGCGATGTGAAAGTAAATGACAAACTCTTCTTCGAAATAAGCTTTTCACGTCGGAGGTTGATCTCAGTCCTGCTTGGATCGTCTTTTTGACCGATTGATGTTGGAGGAGAAGATTTCTGTTGCGAATGCACCATGATTGTTTGGTTACAACTCAGAAGCACTTGGCGTAAAGAATGATCAATGTTTTTCGTAGACGTTACCTCTGGCATGTTAGAACTCTTAACTGGAGATAAATTGGCTATGGATCCCAAACGTCCATTTCCTGGATACCGAGCGCCAGTGGTTGATAACTTACACGTAGCTTTCCCGTCAGTTGGATTTTTGGGTAAACTGACTGTTTTTTCACCCGAAACTGACCAGGACCGGAAGATTCGAGGTTTAGGAGGAACCGGAGGCTTTTGCTTTGAGGGAAATCTTCTGCATTGCTCGATAATTTTCTGAGTACTTTGATCGGAAGCGGGGCTCGCCCCAAGTTCCGTTTTTATGCTTTTATCGTTTCTCATGGAAATGTCAAGATTTCCCGAACCTTTCACGATGCCCTTGTCGAGAACATCGTCCTGCTTTTGACTATCTTTATCACATTTTAATCCGGTATTCAAATCAAAGAAGGTCGACGGAACACAGGCAGAGGGCGGATCAGGTGAAACATGTGACTCGAATATATGAGACGTGAAAGTTGAAGGAAAGTTCTTGGCGCGAGATTGATTTGATTTGGAAAGGTTTTCTGCCGGACTATGAATACTTTCCTTTCTGCTCAAAAGGGCGGGTGATTCTTTCTGAGTCATTGGAAGATCAGCTGCGACCTTTTTTACCTGAAGCTTCTTGTCCTCAGTGAAATTAGTATCGTAGTTTTCAATTGACACCAAACCGTTGGTCTTGGCGAGTTTGTGGTCATCAGTTAGAGAAAGAAATTTTACGTCATCATAATCATCCATCAAACGCTCCAACTCACTGTCACTAAAGTCCAAAGGTGGGGGAGACGCAATCTTGATTCCCGAAATATTCGGCAAAATATCGACCGAAGTGGGAGGGAGAGGGACAATTAGGCACATCAGCTCCTCATCTAGTCGACCTCCGTCTGGCGTTGTGGAAAGAGGAGGGGGTGAAACAATGGGGATATCAGTATCCTGGAGCTCAGGCGTTGGAGTGGGTGGAGATGGAATTATCCAGTCGGAAGGAGAGTAGCTCCTATCTACAAAAGTTCCCCTATCGTCCAAGTTCTTAGGTGAGAAACTTTCGTTCGAGAGAATTTCTGCATTTCCCACAATAGTATGTTTAACCAACGCATCACTTAAGTGGCTGGGAACTTCGCTTCCTTTTAACATTTCGGTGGACTTGAAATTCTCAAGAAATTGTTCTTCAGTGTATTGGTCGCAATCCAACGTATACCTCGTCTCAGCAACCAACAATGCATCATTGCAAAAATTGGCAGGAGAAATCTCGCAGATATTCGTTCGGCACGCATGCCTCGAAATGTTTGGAGAAGAAGACGAAGTTTCCTCAACTTTGTTATGAATTTCTCCCCGGCTACTCTTACCGTTCTCTTTGGAATTGACATAACCGCTGTCCTCACTAACTTCTTCGCTTTCGGAGTGTATTTCGGCATTTACTTCATAGGTTTCTTCGAGACTCTCAGAAGAGGCTGTTGACAATTCGTCGCAGTTATCGAGAGAGATAGTTTCATTATCCCTTGAACCGATGTTCGGAGAACTCTCATCTCTCGCACTTAGCACCTTGACGCTCAGCAGTGCTACTCCTCGTTCGGTTTCAGAATTTTCACCGTTTTCATACTGATCTTCTTCAGCCAAAGAGAAATCCACACTATTATTACTCGAGTGCATCAAGTGTCCACTCGGCCGAAAGTATTGTGGAAATAAGGACCACAGAGATTCACCGTCATCTGACGTTGTTGAAACTGTTTCTGCCTCGCTTTCCTCAGAAAAATCCAAACTGATATGATGACTGTCTATGCTATCCAATAGATCGTCTTCGTTACCAGCTGCGAATTCGTAGCTATTCAAACTTAAACCAGTCTTCAATTCTAGCTCGTCAAGTCTCTGAACGCTTTCTATAGATTGTACTTCCCTCTCGTAACCGTCGCCACGTTCATTTTCATAACTATCCAAGTCATTCAGTCGTAAAGATAATGCACATCCTTGCTCAACAGACTCCTGAGAGGTCTTTTTGTCATGGAAATCTACCACATCAATTCCTGTATTGTCGAACTTACTTTCGTCGAAGTCCAAGGCCTTTGAAGGTGATTGCCTTCGGTCACGTAGGGGATCTGTAGCAATAGAAGGGTCGGGCTCTGAAAAAGCAGACCTTGCAATGTTACTGTCGTTTGCTAGCGAGGGCATTTTTGTAGAGGAGTAATCACAAAGAACGTTTTGGTTAATGTCTGTGTGACAAAGACTGCGCTCACTAGACTCAAGGTAAGGACCTAGCTCATTTTCGTCAGCTTTGTCGTCCTCAGTGTCAGACGAAATCTCCTCATGTCCCTCTTCAACGTCTATAAACAATCTTTCATCGTGAGTAGAGTTATTCATCTGACTATGATGCAATTTGTCGGAACTATCACTGCGATCTATTGAAACCGTTTCAAAGGCTTTGCTACCTGCATCAGTTACTAGAGCACCAAAACTTTCCTCATCCGGCGCACATTTCAAAATAGAAGAAGCGGGTTCCAAGAGTTCGTGATCTTTATCAAACAGAACTAGACCTGCACTGTCATCCTCGTGTATATCAATGAGATCTTCTTCACTACTATTTACACTCTCCGTTTTTATAGAATCGTGCTGGGGTGATTCTTGTCCATGGTCAATGTCTATTTCACCGTTTTGTCGCTGACTTGTACTCTCCGATACCATAATGTCCTCCGGTTCGGATTCTTCTGAAATGGCAGTTTCATTAACTTTATATCTAGGCGGGGCGCTTGAAAAGTCAATGAAAACGTCTTTGTGCTCAGTAAAAGGCTTAGAATTTTCTAGTTGTGGTTTTTTGATGGCACTTGAGATTTGAAAGCGGGAAGGATAAGACCACACGTCAGGGACAACTCGATGTCTTGAGTAGTAGTCTGGCGCTGTAGATTAAATCGAATTAAAAAAAAGAAATTCATTAGCAACACTGGCATAAAATGAACCTTTCTTGACATCAGCTCAAGAATTCGGAAGAAAAACTGAGATATCTGTCAGTCCACACTTATAAATCTGGACGCAGCAGCCTAGTGGTTAGTGCTTTGGACTCCTGGTGTGGTCGATGTGTCGTGTTCTTGTGAAAATCGCTATACTCTCACAGTGCCTTTCTCCGTTCAGGGGTAAAAATGGTTACCGGCGAGTTGTCAAGGATGCCTGATGAGATACTGGACACTAGTATCACATCCATTGCTGGGGGGGGGAGCCACTGGGCTCGAGTACAGATTTTACTCTTACTTTACACTCGTAAATCGCTCGCCTTTTGTTAGAAAAATGCACAGGTCAACAAAATTTTACCGCTGGTCTATAAAGTTCATCATTAAGTCTAACTAGACAATAGATATCGTTCGTTGTCGACTGCTACTGATTCTACTCCTGCTTATGCTGATACTAATGCTGCAAAAGCTATTATATTGTTAAGGTAAAATGTCGCACCGCCGACAAAATTCGTCCCGGGTAAAACTGGACGTAATCAACTAAATAAACAAAACCGCGTATAATTTGTCGATCATTTGTCGTAAAAGCTACTACCAACGAATTTGATAATTATCTTTTGTTGTGAAACTCGTTGATATTACAACTTTGAAACGACTTGGGACGAGTCCCGTAAATTGGAGTTTGAATCCATTAGCGAAGTATGCCAGCCGGTCTAAGAACATATCAGGCGCTCGAACGTGTTATTTTCGGCTGTTAACGGAATTTGACTGCTTTGAAATTTTCAGTGCAGATACAAAAGACTAGACAAATGTTTGTCCTGATAAAAATTTTTTCCTTGACTTTGTGGAGACAATTCTAGTTTTGTCCGCTAGTGCAGACAGGCCTTAACCATTTAATTGCCTACTCGTTAGCATAATTTTCTTTGCTGTTTTCTTTATTTCATAAAATAGATCTGGAATTGTCCGAGACCTACCATCTTTACGAGGGGAGCTCTTTCGGAAACTGAAAGGCCAAGTCTCTTCGTTCTCTACTGGTAACGGTGTGTTACTCGTATTGTCGACATACACCTTGTAGTAACCAGTGATTAGTGCAATCATATCCAAGCAGTCCAAGGTGGTACAGATCAGTTGTAATTTCTGAAAAGGATTAAAGTAATTACTCAAATAAGTTAATAAGTAGGACAATTTGACGAATATTACAAGCCTTGATTTAAGTCAGACTCGCAGAATCAATTGCGCACAACAAATACGCGCAGAAAACGAAAGACGGACAAATTAATGTAATGTATGCATAATATAAAAAGAGTATTACCTTTCCCTCTTGTAGCTTGATCTGTAATAACCGCTTGTTGTCTTCTTCACGGCGAATTGAGAATCCTGTTATCTCTTGAAGTTCAGCCAGCTGACACAACTGTAAATGTAGATCAGTCTTGTTATTTTTACACGACTATTTACCTGAAATTTCGTCAACCGGATGAACCTATTGTTGTGATGTTAGTGATCGTCGTCATGTTGATTATAAGGAGAGTTATTCACATATGTTGGCCATACTTAGGCAGAACAAGCTCAGAAAAAAAAACTTAAATTGTTCGCATCTCTTGGAAGTCCTTTATTAATTCTTTTGCGTAATTCCCGTGTTTTTTGCAGTGAATACTCTTACTTCTTATCCAATTGCACAAAGTAGAGTACAAATAACTCGTGTCTAGAGTACAAATATCCTGCAATATCGCGGTACGGTCATTTAGATAGTTGGTTATTTTGTACCGTAAAGAAGCCTGTGAAACCAGTTGGCTACGCGCTTCGCTTCTCTATCCGCTTTGCTTTTCCCGCCTCACGAGAAATGAGCAGAAAGACTCAGCAAAATCAAAGAAGAGTAGTTGGATAATAAATAACTTATTAGACGTTTTGGCGTGCAGTATCGCTGAGTGTTTTTATCAGACAGTTATCACAAAAACAATTACATTTTCAAGTGCATAATTTGCAACTAATAAAATTTGGATTCCAATACCTCGGTTGGCGGCTGTCAGGGCTCTGATTGGATGATATCGTTTTTGATTTTCGATTTTCATCCAGGCTTTAGATCGTTCATTTGAGTAAATATAGTAAAGGGGGCCGGAAAAAGAAAAAAAACCAAAACAAAACAAAGATAAACACACACAAAAAAAGGAAGAACAAAAGGCGATTTACCTACCACATTTACTTTTCCTCTGAGGACTTGACTTACTCCATACTTCAAGTTGATCAGAACGGTGATATGTTGCTTTTTGGCCTTAAATTAATAGCATGAGAACATCGATTAAAGTATGTTAAAAATTCTCCCAAACTTATACATTCTTTTCAACCGACAAAAAGCATTACCTCAGCTACAAATCCTGCGTCGACAAAGTCAATGACAAAAAAATTGATATCGATTAAAGCTCTTGTTGTCTATGCACTGACTTTGCAACGCAAAGTTGTGAACACGTCAAAACCTAAAACATGCACAGCAATCTCTCCTTTTAGGATCTTGGTTTTCACTAAACGATCTTACGACCTTCTTTCACGTCGTTTTATTGAGTAAATCGAAAACGCAATCATCCTCAGCAAGACTGGGGATTGTTATTACAACACATACAACACGAGGTGGAATGTAAAGTACAACCGTGCAACAGATGCGACGAATAGACACCAGAAAGTTGCCGTGTTTCTATCGCTCTTACGAGCATTTAATGTACCTACAAGAGCGATAGAATAATAATACTCATACCGTAAAGGGTAACTGTTATTGAATTATCACATATTACCATTCTAGCTTTTAACCTGAATTGAACGACAGCTTTCAACAAACCTTTTTTAGACTGGGTCCACCGTTCTCTTTATCAAGGAGCTTAGCATCAAAGTATCTCCCGCCATAGGAAAACATTTCAACCGCGAGGTTGAGATAATGCAATTTGCACTGCAGCGAGCTCATATATCTCTCTCCTGGTGAGGCAAGGGTCTCGTTCTGCTTGATCTGCTGATCAAGAGTTTTTCGCAATTCTTTTTCCTTCATGTTGTTTAACAAATCTGACGCAACGAACTTCTCAAGTCCACCGAATTCTTTTTCCACCTGACGAACGGAGATTTTCATCGGTCTTCCTGCGGCAGCTTCCATTGCTTTCTGTTGGATTTGCAGCGCCGCCAGTTTTATGGCCGTGTCGTATTTCAGATCCAAGCCGTAGAAACCCTCTACAACTCTGTTGCTTACCTAGGGGTACGATACAGGTAATCATTACATAGTCGGCCCCAAAGGCCTGCAAGATGGCCCCAGTGGAAACATTTTGGGACCAGTCTCACTCTTCGTAGTCTTAAAACGCTAAAAGTATTAAATCTTCGTATGCAATTGAAATGGCAGAGATTAAAAGTCGTATGCTTTCCGAGGTTCTTTTGAGATTAAATTAAGTCTTTGCCCTTCCTTTATCATTAAAAGCCTTGAACTCAAAATAGCTCACCTGGGCATAAAGATATTCAAAGGTGTTTGGATCTTCTGACTGTAGTTCGTCGTTATCTTTAGGAACAAATCTGTTAAAAAAATTACACACACGATAAGTCTTACTGCTCTGTCCCTCTGGGTACATTGGTAACGTACTTACATGCAAGTGCATATCCACAAAAGTACCTTTAGAAAAAAAAAAAATTAAGCAAAACCAAACATACAAAACGCGTCCCGTTCGATAGATTACTCGCATATGAAAAGTTGGGTTTGTCAGTGAAAATGGAATATACGTACAAATCTGTACTCACGCGATGACAAGCTTGCATATGCAGTTGACACTGCTGCAGTTGCGATTAGTATAAATCTGTTGAAGGAAAATAGTTAGAGAACAAAATTAAATTTGCAACACGAAGTAAATTCTAGGTTTCATGAGACGCTATATGTCGCGTTCATGCATTTGCACTTGATCCAAATATAAAAAAAAAATTCATTTAAAATTATGTGAGTTGTCGAATTTCACGGAAAAAAGTTGGTCCGCGTGGCTTGTTGACGTAGTGAAATTATAAGCAAAATATTCACTTCAATAAAATTTTCATTACCTCTGAGATCTTCTCGTAATTTTGTATGTACGAAACTTGTCCTTTCTTGGGGCCACTGAGAATCAAACTGAAGTGTTCCATTGACTTTATATCGAGCTTTGAGCTAAATGAGCTAAATATTTCCTGCATGAGAACAAACAAACAAACAACTTTAAAACCACTGAGGCTTGAAATTTCCCCTTTTAAGACTAAGATCACATAATACTTCGTGCTAGGAGGACGAAGAGTTTTCTATACAGATCACCCATAAACGAGAGGGAGTATTTCTAATCTGAATATAGGAGATACCATAGATACAATAACTCCACAAAAAACATTACCAACTTACACGTGCAAGACTGGAGAGGTAGAAAGTAAGAACGTAGACTTCCACTTAAAGATTATTAAGAGCTGAAGATAGCTGTGCGAGTCCAATGGAGATTGTAAAAAATATATATCTCAAGTTGCTACAAGTCCAATGAAGGTTGTAAAAACTTATCTCAAGTTGCTGTGAAGACCCACCTCGACAGTTGTATCGGAGTCGTAACGGAAGGAACGTGTCTGGCCATTTTCTAAGAAGACTTTCAGCACATTCGGGATGAGTGGCACTGAAGACTATTAAAAAAAAAAAGAGGCTAAAATAAGGAAACCACGAGTAGAAACTTGTGGGGCTTGAGACGATGAACTCAAGTCACCCAGGCTGTGAACAATGACCTGTCACTTTTTCCACAGGCTCAATTGGCTCAATCGCTCAGAAAATTGTCAGTACCTAAACTCTCATCCAACAATATTGCGAAACTTTACCACAGATCACATAATTAAGCATACGGCTTCTTTAATTTTCGCTTCGAAAAAGAAGCATAATTATGTTAATTTAGGTAACTAGTTACTTAACGATTTTGTTTTCTCTTTCATCCTAAATACTTCTAAATTGTCGACAAGGCCATCAATAAATCCTACAAAGTGCATCAACAGGAAAAAAATTATTGTAACTGTGCCAATAATTTTAGAAGAAAATTTAAAGAAATTTGAAACGAAACAATTTAAAAATGTAATAAATTTTTTTAACTAAATGAATTTAACTCACCCTTCGAATTGGCTCCATCGGACCAATGACCTGCACCAACGCGGGCTCATCCGCAAAACGTACGGAGACTGGAGTTGACCGACGGCGTTCTCTTGTAGTTCGACTCATGAGTGAGGACTTTCGATTGTGCTGAGAAATAGAGGAAGGCTATAAATTAATTCGCGAGACTTTCGCGTTACCTTGAATAGCTAAAAAACAAACTGCGCAGTTAAAGAAGACAGATCTAAAAATTAATTTGCATCACAAACTATAGAGTTCACGGATATTTTCAGCTTCAAACATAGGTTTGATGGCCAATTTTGACAAAAATAAACTGCGCAGTTAAAGAAGACAGGTTTAAAAATTAATTTCCATCACAAACTATGGAGTTCACGGACATTTTCAGCTTCAAACATGGGTTTGATGGCCAATTTTGACGATGAGACACTAGGAAATAACGAGTAAACACTGTGGCCTAAAGGTTTGTGTGCTGGACTCTGGATCGAAAGGTCTGGGCTCCAGACCTGGCTGCGTTAATGTGCTCTGTTCTTAGGCGAAATACTCTTCCATCACGGAGCCTCCCCCCACCCAGTTGTATAAATGGGTACCGGTGAATTGGCCAGGAAGCCTGATGAAATACACCTGGGAGTAAGTCGGGTAACCTTGCGATTGAATAGTATCTCATCCCAGGTAGAGTTGTAATACTCCTTATCGCTTCATGCTACGGAAACCGGAATAAAGTCCAGCTAGATGGGTAACTTGGCTCGAGTACAGACTCTACCTTTACCTCTTTACTTCATTCGTACAAACCTGGTTTTTGGTATCCTGTACATCTTCACTCGCCACCACTTCGATTTCAATGCGATCAGTCGCACTTCTGCACAAACAAGATAAGCAAACACCAAAACCTTACAAGTACTCTCAGTTTTACAGCGTAAAACTATATCTTCAGCTGATGTTATAATTTTTAGTGCAAAATGTGCAAAAACGGGAATTTGGAATAACACCAACATAGTTCATTTGATCCTGTTTGCTTGCAATACGCATTTAAGGGGTTCATTTTCGGGACACACGGGAGCCTAAAGGCGAAAATTAAGTAGACGCTGGTACAAAAGCCCAAACGCTTTATAGAGCGAGCTCCTGTTGGCTTCATCATTTTCTACTATTACGTACGTAAGACGACTCTCACAGCACCTCTCTCCAAATAGGATTGTGATAAAGTATTGACACACCGTCAGGTAAATCTGCGAATAATTCAGGGGAAAGGCGGAAAATAGACAATGTCTCGCATCAAGTGGGAGTACATGCACTACTTTACGAAATACTCGTAGTTCTTCCGTTCAGTGAAAACCCAAATATGCTCGGGCGGCCAAGGCAACTTGTTGCTGTTGTGCAGAGCTTTGCCCGATAAAAGAAAATGTTAATCCATAACCACAAGCTAACAAATAGACCGAGCCATCACTTAACTGTGGTTTCTCTTATTACTTTATTTCACCTCAGAGACAAAAGTTTGAGAACACTTCCTCATCATAAACAAGCTAGCATAGCTTACTTTATAAGACTGATAACATCAGCTTGAGCAGCGGATCTGACGTCTTTCTCATTCACCTTCAGAATCTGATCATTGGCAAAAAGCTTGTCGTGGGATGGGCCATCTGAAAGAATGGAAAATCAAAATCAGCCATTAAAGCATTAACCTTTCATACCCTAACATCAGTATGCATATTCTCCATACTTTTCTCTACACACTTCCTAAGGTGCTGACAATGAGAATTTGTTCAACAATCAAGAACTTCTCTAGTTTGTAATCATTTCCTTTATTTGTGCGACCTTAACAATTGATTATTGTGAGGAGAAGTTAATTGCGATTCAAAGAGTTAACAGAATGCTTAAGAATATTTTGACCAGAATATGAGTACACTTTGTTAAAAATTGGACATTCCAAGCAAGCGTCCATCAAGCACCATTCACATCGCGATGGAACATGCATATGTGCATTTCATTACCAGTCTCCGCATTTTCTGATCTGTTGAACAATTTAGCCAAAAAAACTAAAACCTATCGCACCATTCTAGTTCTGGATTCATTTAAACAGGTTTTGGTGAAATCTTGATAATTTTAGATTGGCAACCGTGGAAATACCCGCGCAGTGACTAACCAATCTGCGCTACTTAGTCTTTAGGCTATCAAGTGAACCTTAAAAAGCATTAGCTTGGCTAAGCATCTACAGAAGGATGAGACGCAGTGGCCCGGTACAAAAGATGACTGGGTCTCCGTGGTGTGTTCCTGAACAAAGTACCTCACTCTCACAATGCCTCTCTACCCAGTCTTCCGAGAGTAAGAAATAAGTGGCTACATACCGATAAGGAAAACATGACTTACTTGCTATAACGGAGCGTATAACGACGGGCTTTTCACTCCCAGCAACAAAACCAAACCCTGAAGAATGAAAGAGACATAGTTTTCTTCACGATCATGCAATTAACCCTTTAACTCCCAAGATCTGATCGTCAATTCTCCCCTCCATCTTCTAAACATTACGTTGTAAATAAGTTACAAGAGTTTGGTGTCAGATCGAGATAACAACTTCAATCTGATAAGTTTGAATATTCTCATGACCTTTTTGCTGGATAATGTTTAGATACCAAAGGGAGAAGTTACTTGTTAATCACTTCTGGGAGTTAAAGGGTTAAGCAAAACAGTTTCTTTGCTGTGACACAAACTTTTAACAGCTACAATGTGTGAATAGCTTGTATTACGTACTACAATTCAATCATCCTTGATGACAAATATAACTGCTAGGTTGAGGGCTGTTTTCTCTTAGTTTTAATACAAATATTTGATACTAATATTACTTATGATTGACAAAAATATCCCTTGCCATAACCCAACTGAGTACTGTTCTATTGTTTCTAGAAGACTTGTAGATATCAAAACAATCATTTTAGATTAATCTAACTTCTAAAATATTGGCCAGAATGCACATAATGTATTCAAACTAGAAAATATTAATGATTAAAATTGAATCACTTAATTATCAGAGTATAGCAGGTAATTTAGTGTTAACAACTGGGTTGAAAACGTAAAAAGGGTAAAAAAGCTGACATTTCGAGCGTAAACACTAAATTACCTGCAATATACTGTATCTCCTTGAAAAAACACTCGTGCTTCAATGAGCACCTCCTACCTCTGGGCCATAATATCAAACAAGCACCCCTCACATTTTTGGAAGAGCTTCTACCCTGGGAACTTAACCCCAACCCCCCTGCCACCCCCCTCCC